CGAACCAACGAGTATGCGGCAAACACTTGGAGCCTGGACGGCTGCATGGACGTGCCCAACTGAATGGGGCCCAGGCCAACTGAATGGGGCCCAGGCCCGTGACAGGAGAGGTGGGCCAGGGCGCAGACACTGGGCCCCGACTGGAAGCTACTGGAAACATCTTCAGCCAGGCCCATGCAGGCAAACACAGGCCACACTTTCCATAAAGGAAAGTGCCCTGCCCAGGCTTGGAATTCTGGCCTTGGTGGGCAATGTGGCCATGCTGCTGCACTCGCACACGAGCAGGTGTATTGGCGCTATGGGCCAGACGTGTGCATGGGCACTGAGGTGAGACAGGTGCTGCTGAGGCAGTGGCCTCACGGCGGCCATAGCCGGCCTGCTGGGGCGCAGGCAGGTGATGGCGATGGTGGTATTCAGGTGGGAGGTGTGCAGAGGGGAGTCAAGGTGGGAAGAGGGGAGGAGAGGGAATGCACCTGGTGTATGCTGCCGGTCGACATTGTTAATGATGTCACGTACATTGGTTTTCAACCTTGATGTGATCCAGTCGCATGAATGTAGATAGGATAGATAGGATGAATTGTGTAGGCTGGGCGCTGGGCGCCAGACAGTAGGAGCAACATTGGATACAGTGTTGGTGTGACCAGAGAGCGCCGGCATTGGCACTCTAGTTCATTGTTTTGCTCTTATTTGGATGGTATCTTGGTGCATTGTGGCATGATTGTGCTCTCTGCTTGGTACACGACTATCTGGACTACTTCGTGGTTTCGCAATTCTGATTTCTGTCTATCTCTCTCGCTCATATTCCTTGCAATTTGGTATCAGAGCTGGTTCGTACTGGCGCTGGCAGACTTTGTTTAACTTACTTGGTGCGCTAACGAAGCTTCTACGCAGTGAGGATACATTGGCGCTGGCTTGTTTAGCCATTCCTGGGTAGAGGGGAGTCTGGCAGGAAGGCTGTGACGAGTCTGGTGACAGCGTGGGGAACTGCCGCGACAGCGGATGTATGTGGGATGATGAGAGCATGCTGACATGGCATTTTTACTGAAGGGGCACTCCATCGCATTGTGGTACCGAGGCTATGACCGGTCATCAAAATGCACACCGGCTCTATTGGTGAGAAATATGTGGTTGGAGGCAGCTATCTTCAGGTACGTTGTTCCTTTACCTTATCATCCCATCTCAATCTATTCTAACCGTGAGGAAGTGGGTTTGACTTGAGAGTCCTCCTCTTGGTCTGGAGTCGTGAGCGCTCTACCTTGAGAGTCGACAATCTGAGGAAGTGAGTTTGACTTGAGAGTCCTCTTCTTGGTCAGGAGTAGTAAGCACTCTACCTTGAGAGTCGACAATCTTCCTGGTGGACCAGTGGTGGTGCATCTGGCAGGAGAGGCCAGCTATGTGACACCCGCGGCCTCGGCCGCGGGCATTTCGGCCGCTGCGGCCAA